AAAATGGATGATAAAAATATTTTACTGGATTGTAATAAGGAAGATAGAGGAACCACTGACTCCATAAATCATATAGATCATACTTAAAAGACTGAACTCTTCAGTTTTAGTTTCTTCCCTTTATGCATAAAAGGGCATTTTAGGAATAGCCCTTTCCAATCCATTTGTCTTTTGCTCCTCATTTTCTTTTACCATTCTTTGGCAGATTTGTCTCACTCATTTTTTAGCTTGGTTTCCAGTTGTTCAGGACATGGTTAGGAAGCTTGCCAATGTCCTCTAAAGCTCCCTTTTCATGCTCACTTTAGCTAACTTGAATTCCTTTCAAGTTTCTTGGCAGTGATTTGTGGTGACAAGCACAGGAGCCTGGGCACCTACAGGCTATAGCACTGTGGAACCCCTCACAAAGCCAGATTGCATTACTGCTACATCTTAAGAAGCTCTCAGAAGCCTAATTCATACACTCCTTGTGAATATTTTAATACAAACCACAAAATGAATCATTACTTATTAAAGCTAATATTTATTTAAATTAATATGAATATTTATCTTGGGTGGTTGTCTTCTCTCAGTAATTTGAAGAGCTCATTACATTGTCTTCTGGCTCCCACTGTTGCTCTTGAGAAATTGGCTGTTAGGTAATGTATTTTGTATATGATCAGTCTTTTCTTTCTGGCTGTTTTTATGATACCATTGGTCCCGAGACCAGGAGATAAGAGGGAAAGATAAGCAGAATTAGGGTAAGAGGGCCTGAGTAAGTTGAGTAAACTAACTGAGTAAAGGCTAGGACCTAGAGGAGCTGATGTAAGCCTCAGCAAAATAGAGCACAAAGGAGAGGTCCCTCAGTAAACTAGGAAAAAATCTCAAAGGGCTGGAATGCAAAAAACAAAGACACAACACACCCCCCTTTCCAGACATCAAAAACCTGACAACAATAGCAGTAACTGCTTACCTGTTTCCTGTTTATACTCCTACACCTTTTCTTGTGCCAAATACTGTGCAAATCCTTGGACTTAAACATCCACAGTATCCTGCTTTTGGAACCCCTCCCAACAAGTGGGAGCTTTCCTTTTTCTTTCTAATAAACCATACATGGTACCTGTCCCCATTGCTTGACATGTGCAGTCAGCATCAGTCTTTGTTGCCCTCAGAACAAGAACCCAGAGGAAGGGAGCTGCTTACAGTCCTAACTTAATTGCAGTTTTACTACTGTGTGTCTAGGTGTACATTTCTTTAGTTTTCCTGTTTGGGATATACTATGATTTCTAAATCTATAGATTCATGTTTTTCATCAGTTTTACATAATTCCCATCTAATTAGAGAATTTTGCCTTTCCTTTATTCTATTCCTTTTGAGGCTATGCTATAATGCCATTCATCCCATAACCCACGTATCTTAACCTTTTGCATTTTTAATCTCCTTGTCTTATTGCTATATTGTTAATTTCTTAAATTTCATATGCTTAATCTGGTGTTTAACCCAGCCTTGTATTTATTTGTTTGTTTGTTTTTGGGATAGAGTTTTGCTATGTAGTTCAAGCTAGCCTTGATCTCACCCTCCTAGTGCTGGGATTATAGGCATGCACCACTGTGCCTGGCTAACCTAGCCAATTAAGCCCCCCCATACTGGGGATTGAACCCAGGGCTTTGCGCACTGCATTACATCCTTAGCCCTTAATTTTTATTTCGAGGCAAGGTCTTGCTAAGTGACTGAATAGCTCACCAAACTTGCTATCCTCCTGCTTCAGCCTCCCAGAGTGCTTGGGTTACCAGTGTGCACCACCATGCCTGGCTAAAGTGGTTCTAATGTGAAGTCAGAAATCAGAAAAAAATTGAAAAATGACATAAATGTACAATATAATGAAGGATTGTATAGCATATACACGTATTCTATTACCAGTCAACAATCCAAGTATTACAGAGGTCAGTGAACCCCTTTTGTTTTAAACACTTTGCATTTCCCTAGAAGTAGATACGTCAGTTTTGATAATCTTTCCTTTGTTTTATACTCTTATCCCCATGTACAGACACTTAAGCAATACAGTTTAGTTTGTCTGAACAGAGTTGTACTTCTACATATCCTGTGTTAGTTCCTTTGTGTTTTAAGACTGACTGAAACTTGCTTGTAGCTATGGTTTATTTATTTTCAATTCTGTCAGTCACATTTTAATTATTAAACAGTCACAAGTATCTAGCGACCAATTCCAGCATAGATTCCAGGTTTGGTAAACAGGTTCCCCAAATCCGATTTCTCCTCAGGCGTAGGGAACCGCTTCTCCAGGAGGGAGGGAGGATGCCCTAGTGCACCAGGTACCCCCCGCCCCCCGCACACACACGGAGAGAATAACGCGCAGGCGCAGCTGCGGGGAGTGGGGGCAGGAAGCTAATGCACAGGCGCAGGGCGGGCAACGGGAAGGGCCTGTGGGCCTGCTTCCGGTCTCCAGCCATTGGCCAGGAGCGTGAGATCAGCTGTGGCTTCTTCTTTCAACCTTGCGCAGCTTCCTCTCACCTTACTCCACTTCAGCTCCCGAGCCTTCCCACCTGTCTACCACTTGTCGCCCACTGGGGAACAGCCCCGCAGGATTCTTATCTGCTGGCTGTTCCTGCCCCGTGTTGGGCCTGAGGGGGGGGGGTCCCCATCCCTGCACACCTGTTAGGGGCGGCCGGAAGCTACCCTCAGGTGGCCGAGCAGGAGAGAATCTCCAGCACTTCGCCTGTGATCTGTGGCAGGTTACTTTCTAAGTCACCCTTCCAAATATGCACACACATTCTGAAGCGTTCATTTAGCAAACTGGAACGGGACCCGTCACAGTTTGGTTTGTTTTCTGTTTCAGATGCTGTTGCTGTAAGTCATAGAAGCCCTCAGCCTACACCTAGCCAATTACAGTGGCAACTTAGCAATTTTAGATGGTACCGTTCCATAAAATGCATCTTATCCATTACTACCATACTAGATTTCTTGAAGATAATCATCATGCTCCATCTCTGTTGCTAATAAACCTTATTGAGGTTATTACTTCAAACTACCTTTTCAACATTGCTGTGAACTTATATATCCACCATGCTCTATGACCTTCTCACCCTTCCTTAATGTCCCTTTCTTCATTACACAGATCCCCTTTTCAGGTGTTAAAATCCTCCCATTCTGCATGGCCAATTTAAATGCCACCTCCTTCAGGAAGCCATTCTTGATTTCTGTAGTGTCCTTGTTCTTTCCCTGATCCAACCCTTTTTACTGAGCTGTTATTTTGTATGGAAAATGTGTCTCTTGCTTATCCTTTCTACTTAGCTTCTCCAAACACGTTAAGTTCTGGATGGGAACCATGACCTTTTCATCTTGAGTACCTGGACATACTCTGAAATATTACTTAAAAATAAGGGGACCGTATTAAAAGCCTTGATGATTTTGATTTTGATTGAAACATTCAGAGTTCCTTTCAAGAGGGCAATTTTTAAATCAATAGCTCCAAATTAACTATAAAAGGAGAGCAAGGGGTTAACTCTTCCTCAGTACTTACAATTCTGTGAGGTATCTCCTTTATGGATGAAGAAACTGAAACTCAATGGGATGGCTTTCCTAACATCACAACTTTGAACAGCACACTGATTAATTTGAAATCTCTTTTCACAGCATTACAAAGAAAATTAAAGAAAATAATACAGGATCTCTTTGAAGAATTAAAAATGTTCACAAATGCCCTTCCCAAAGTACAAATGTAAAATATTAAATACAGTGGAGATGTTGTAAGTTAAACAAATAGACATCATTTCTTTTTATCAAACACAATACCAGTGTACCATGAGATCAATAGACATTTTAATGTTTCATGATGTACTTTAAAAAAATGATGGGCATTTAGCAATTGCACTGGCAGGTTGGCAAAGTCCATCAAATACCATTTATATAATTCAATACTCATAGAGCACAAGAATGTGTTTTGCAACAGATGACAAATATAAGATATGGTCTCTGCTCAGAAGGCTTATAATCCGAAAGGTAGTTAAGGCACAGGACATGGAACTAGAGGGTAGGAAACTGTGTTGAAATTTCCTTTTTGCATGAAAAATTTCCAGGTCTTTGGTGATAACCAATGAAATGTCTTGCTTAAGTAGGTTTTGGAATGAGATATTAAAAAACACTACTACTAAAACAAAATAATAAAAAGCACTAATGACAAAAAGATTGATTTGGGACATAATGTAAAATGATTCTCACCTGATGGCGAGAAGATACTTCACTGGGTATAAGAGTATTTGGGGATAAAATAAAGAGGGCATGGAGCTTCAAAACAAGATAGTACTTTCAGCCCTTGCTTTAATCTTCTTTATTTAAAAAATTCAGTTAACATTAAAGGGAGTGGTGGTCTTTTCAGTTTCTAAAGAGAGGTATGAGAGGTACCAAGATGGAAGACTAAGAAATGTCAACAGTGCAATGCAGTGCTAGGAAAAAAGAAGGTAACAACAGAAGTAAGGAGAAGGAACCCAAAGTAAAGTCAGAAAGAATTAATAGGATGACTAAAAGTTAAAAGCTGTTTGAGGGGAAGTTTTCATACAAACTTTGAGGAAAAATTAGGAAAACATTTAAATAAGTAAAGCTACTGAATCATGATACATTTAAAATAATTTTGATTAAAATGGAAATATACTGTAAATATTTAATAAAACAATTTTATAATCTATACAGAATTGAGTAAAAATACAATAAATTATTTTCACTACTTTGCAAAACTGCATATAGTACAACTAGCACATTGGATTCAGCATTCTATGGCCATACACCAAGATGGCAACATACTTTTGTCTTAAAAAGGTCAAGCCTGTGGCTGGGTACCACAGGGAAATATTCCTTTGGTAATGTGAACTATTTGTACCATAGACCATTTTATTTTTTCAAAAATTAAATAAAATTCCTTAATCATGATCTTTCTGCTTCTTTGTGGACAATTTTTTACAGAGCAAAAAGAAAGCAGCAAAAAGGAGACAATATAAAATTAGAGGTTGCTATTTTTATGACATACTTCTTCCTTTCCTCAGCTAGTGTTCCCTTCCTTTCCCTTAACTATTAAGGAAAATGAATGGGAATGACCTAGTCTTATTATCACCTATTTTGCTTCTAGGATCCCTGATTAAACCAAATGAATATGTCAATTTGCAATCTTGACACTATTATTACCATTGTTTAGGTGTCATTCTAAAAAAAGTCAACACCCCAGTTAAAAGCACCTACCTACATACTTTTTACAATAAGGCCACAAAGTTGGCTCTGAAATAGTTTTCACGTCTCACAAATATTAGCAATCCCTTGGTAGACTGATCGCAGAATAAATGCATATAGAACAGTATTTTTTTCAAGTTAATGTGGAAATGGATTTGCTAGCAACTTGTTTTTTGTACTGGTGATTGAACTCAGGTCCTTGAGCTCACCAGGTAGGTGGCAGAACCATTGAGCTAAATCCCTGGCCCGTGCCAGCAACTTTTAATTAAGCAAATATTCAAGATGATCCATCCTTAGAAACAAGAGCAGATTTAAGATTCAAAATTAGAGGAATCAGAGACCCCACTGAAATAATTAGAAAGAGGCTCAGTTTATGAAAAAGGCTTTGGAATAATCCAACTCCTACTCACATCTTTATCTTGAATAAGAAAATTAAAATAATATAAAAGCTACAAATGGGAATGAGATTATTTTAAAGAAAAAGGCATTTTCATTTCATTTTGGAAATAAAAGGGAATACAAATACAAAATGGGATAGTTGTATCTGTAGCCCATGTATGATTTTTCATAGAAGTAACAGTCCTTCATACCGAAGTATTATAGACAAGCAAACCTAAGTTTTCTGGTTAGGTCTCTTCATTTGGATTATAAGCAGGCTTTAAAATGTGCCTTCTTTTCTTACTAAGTGAGCTTCTCTGGGAAGCATATGAATTATGCAAAAATGTACTTCTACAGAAAGTTTACACAATACATAATGGTAAAGATGGGGACCAAGAACATTCATACAACAAATTTTCTAAAAATAACTTAAAATTAGAAATGACACATACTCCTTATAGAACAGACATTAGATCACAGCAAATACTGTCAGTCACAGGAACAGCATTCATCTGTAGAAACAAATGCATGAGTAACACAGAAATCAGGATGAAGGTCAACAGATGCAGGTGCTGATAGAGCATATTTCTATCATATTTCTACAGCCTCTGTGAAGCCCTGGTCCCACCAGGCCAAGAGTCTGGCCAAGTGGATATAGACACATGTGACCTACAAAACATCAAACTCGCTCATTCATCAGGTATACCACACTGTGTGCTGCTTGATTGCTCATGATTACTTGGTTTTCTTTTCTTTTTTTTTTTTTTAATTGAGTTTATTGGTACATTTTGCTTGGCTTTCAAAATCAAGTTCACTAGTGAATCTGAAACAAGTCATCCTTGAATTAGCTCTCATAAATAATCCATGAAAGAAACTTCACTTCTGGCATGTCTCAGAGAGTATCATGATACCCCAGGAATGCAAGGGATTCGTTGAGCAGCTGCTTTGAAGCCATGAAATGCACATTCATAAATATTTGTCTGAACCTTAAAAATATTAAATACATCCAGGCAGTTGCTGTGCAGAGTTTTTTTCTCTAAGAAGCAGCTCTTCAGGGTCTTATGAAGTAGTTGCTTGAGAACTTGACTCTGGATCTTCCTTCTTCCTATATTTCTTCACAACACTGACCACACCACCAATCAGGAAAATCATAGCAATGAGTGCAAAATAACTGGCGTAGATCAGGAACTAAGAGGCAGAGAAGTAGTGATAGAACAGTCAATTAGAATATACTCTAGGTAATTAAAGAAAACTCAGTTTCTTAGACATACTTCAAAAAACATTGCACCAGACGTGGTGTGGCAGGCCTGTAGTTCCACCATCTCCAAAGGCTGAGGCAGGAGAACTGCTTGAGCCCAGGGCAACACAGACCAGCCCGGGCAACAAAGGAAGACCTTGTCTAAGAAAAAAGCCAAAAAACGCTCCATGCACATACTGTGCACCAAGGACTGAAGATACAAAGCAGCAATCCAGCATGGTAGCACTAAAATCTGACTGACTTAATTCCTTACTAGCTCTGTGATCTTGCTGTGATACTTAATTTCTGATCTCAACTGCTTCATTTTACAACACAGACTTTGTAACAATTCACACCTCACAGGGTTGCTGGGAGGAGTCGATGAGATCATTCATGTAAATGTTTATGAGCACAATGCTAATGCTATAAACATTGTTTTTTATTGTTCTAAATGAGTCACAGTCTACATCCTTAAACTAGTAGGTGGGTACACTAAGCCATCTTCTGAAGATCAGAACTTCTAGTCTTTCCCAGAAGAGGGCAGTAGAGGCCAACTGTATTCCATTATAGGATTGCCATTTTTTAAAAAAATAAAAATCTTTCCTAAGACAATTTTTAAAAATGTGATGATAGTTTACCAGTAACTTCATCATTTACTACTTCTTAAAAGAATTAGAACTCACATATTTATAATACTTATAAATTGGTTCAAAGGTTCAAGTAAGAATGTAGCCTTAAATCTCAGGTTCTTTCAAACCTGGATACACTTCTGTGGGAAGCCTGTTATGGCAGTTAATGTCTGAAGAGGTCGCAAAATCCACGGCTTAGACCCACCATTTCTACAGTAGGTCATGTGTTAAGAGTCATGATGTTATTTGTCAATAGCAAGTCATTATGTTGCTATTCAGGTGAGGGGTGCTGTAAGTAAAGGGAGAAGACTAAGCTGTGAGATGAAACAGGGCATCTCAAACATGAGATACAGTATTCCAGGCATAGATCAAAGATGACTGGGCTATCGCTCAGTGGCAGAACACTTGCCTAGCATGTGTAAGGACCCGGGCAGTAAACCTGTGACTCTCCTGCTTGGCCTCGCAAGCAGCTGGGATTACAGGTGCTGACCCACACCCAGCTGTGCATTTCTTTTTATTAATCACACCGCATTTCTTTTATGCTGACCACATCAGGCTATCTTTAGGGCCCAGGGAGAGAACTTACTTGAGTGGTGATATCTAAACCAAGGCCACTGGCATCCACTACAATCAGAGTGAGCACAGTCTGCAGTGCCAGGGCAATGAAGGTATTTACACCAAACACCAGGGCATAGCGTTCCATGCTGAGGTTTGCAGCAATCTGAAACCTTTTTGAAAAAAGTAAAAGAAGAATGCTTGTTAGATAGTTACAATTTTTACTCTAAATGTGACGTACAGTCCCTTCTTTGTACTGGCAACTTTTTTCCTAACCAAGGGGGAAAAATTGTTGCCAAACATAAATCTCATGCAAACATCTGACAGCAACAGTAATGTACCAACAAGGGAACAGGTCAACTTTGTCTAAAAGCTTCCAGAAGAGAAACACTGATAATAACCATACAATAAAATGCCTCCTCCCATTTGCGTCTTTCACCCAGACATTTTAATTTCTTGGTTGGTATAGAAATTAGTAAATGTGTCCTGTCACAACTTCTAATGTTTCTTCGAGCCAAAATACATACGTTGCTATTGTGATGAGTAACATGTAGATGATTCTGAAGATGACATAGGATGTATAGCACGCCCAAATGTTACCCACAGTGTCCATGACATACACCGCAGCAGCAATCAGGAGAGAGCACAGGGATAACGTTGTCTCTCCCCAAGTTGACCAGGATATTTTTACGTAACCAATCGCAAACACAGCGATAGCACCTACAAAACAAAACAAAACAAGTGATCTAGGTATTTTACTAAAGAGATACTATTATTTCAATAAATTTAAAAAATTGTTATGATTAAAATTTTAAATATGTAAACTTCTAAATTGGATAGCTCAAGATTATGGTGGACCTTGAAACTTGAAAAATTTGTTTTTGACAAAATAAGTCATATGGAGCCACTGAGAGACGGTGGGAGGCCGAACTCTAGGGCAAGTGGTAATGAGAAGGAAAAGGTGGACAGAGACCCAGGTGTATTGCTAAGGAAAAGACTGCGGGGCTGATGCAAGGCAGGAGTGAAAGAGAACCACTGTTTCTAGCTGGGCAACCTGGCAGGGTGAGTCATCTCTCCTCAGACCTAAGAGCAATCTAGGGCTTCTCTACCCTTTGATAAAATGATTAGAGTTAAAATATATGGAGTGCTGAGTGCCAGACAGATATACTATAAAACCATCCAATAGGGTTTTATTATGAGGCAGGGCAACAAATCAGAAAGGGACAGTAAGGTATGATGTCACGGACACAGGCTCTGAAGCTACCCTGCCCAAGTTCTAATCTTGATTTCATAACTTTCCATCTACATGACATTAGGTAGATTATTAACCTACCTGCCCAAAGTTTCTATTTATTAAAAAAAATGGCAATAATAACTGCACTTGTCTCATGATAACGTCTACTACATCTGACACTCAACGGGTATTAGTTATTACTGTTAAAAACTATAACATATTACTACTTCAAATTTCACATGGAGTGACAAAATCATGCAAAAATGCATAGGTAAGAGAGACTTGGACAAGCAAAGAAAACAATTTTGAAAATTGTTAGGTTTCTCCAAAACATAAAATAATTCCAGTTTGCCAGTCAACGTCCTCCATCACTCAAGTACTTCCAAGTTCTCCTAAATTATAAAATCAGAGCTTAAAAGAATAAATTAGTCTTTGGAGCTGCTCTGGGTTTGGGAGGGGAGAGTTGCTCCTGGCTGGCACCTAATTCACTTACCCAGTAAGGTCGAAACGGCCTCCACCCCACCATTGTAGACAGCAGCATGGCGAGAAGGCATCACCGTCTCCCAAAGGCCCTGGATGTAGTTGATGACTTGGAAATAGCCGCAGGTGGAAAGGGCCCACCACACGGACCAGCAGAGCAGGGGACGGGAGGAGTAGCATATCAGGAAGTCATTCCACAGCACCTTCAACCCAAGGAGACGGTCTGGCTTGGGTTCCTATGCAGCAAAGGGAATAGAACAGCAAACCCCATGATGGTAATTGTGCAGAGAGCAATTAGTGTGCAGACCCAATTTCCTTTTTCCTTATATAAACTATTTTCACTTATTTCACATAAGTAAAACATAAACTCACTAGCAAATTTATAGTTAGCCTTAAGGGGAGTGAAAAGACTACTCTTTACAACCTTATAAATGATAAGCTACAGTAAAGGTACAGAGCTGTTCTTGATTATTCATATCTAATAATAATATTAATAGCACCAATTACAATGTATGAAGAACTTACTATGTACTCATTTGAAAGCTTTATACTGTCTCATTTAATCCTCAGAACAATAGATATATGAATAAGGAAACTAACTGCACAGAATTAAATAAATTGCCCAGTAAGTTTTCTAACTGGGACTTGACTTTACTTCTTTAAAACATTATACTTTGTTGCTAGAAATGACATTATTAAATTCCAGAGTAGCAGTACTAATTGTGCTGATCTCATTGTTTTCTAGAATTCAAAAATGCATACACAAAAGAGGCTTACTAAAAGGTGCTCAGTTCAGTCTACAAATAAAAGCCTGGCCACATGAAGAGAGCATCTATTAAGGATTAATGGCACACCAGTCCCCATGCTAACGTGTTTAATCTGAGTCTTGGTGTGTCACGCTGAGGCTCAAACCTCAAGCTCATATACTCTAGCTAAGTGTTCTAGTACTGAGCTTCGCCCCCAGCACCCTGAATCATTTTTAATGAAGAACTCAAAATATGTCAGGTCCAGATAGAAGCCCAGTGTGAGTCTCGTTCTAACTGTGAAAGAAAATCTCTGGTTGTTCTTCTTCCTGTAGTGTCAGCAACCTCTGCTCCAAAGGAACAGGCCTTCTCTGAAAAGAACTTAAAGTAATCGAAGGCCACTTGTGGACAGGATTATCCCTTTGCCTCCTACGACTTCATTTTCCCTTTCTATAAAATCCAGATTAAACCACTCACCTACCTATCCATTTTTCAGTAATGACCACAACTGTACTTATGACTTAATTATGGATTTTATCACTTCAAAATGGCTGTGATCTCCAATATCCATATTTGACTTTCCTTTGAGCTTGCCAAAAACAGCAGTATTTCAGGGTCAGTGAGTCCAGGTACCAAGCAGCAACACCCGCTTGCTAAATTAGCAGCAGCTGAGCCCAGGACATCATGGGACTGACTTGAAACACATTTCTGCCTACACCACAGCAACTGGATGGTTCTGGCCATGTTGCCATCCGAGTGAAAGATCTTACAGAGCAAAGTATGGTGAGAAGAGGATTTCATATATGCTCTTAAAATATGTTTGGGACTACTACTTGTGCAATTCTGCATAAATTGCTACTGTCTGACCCCAATTTTTACCTGTTTTGTTTTTGTTTTTTTTTCTGAGATAGAGTCTCACTATGTGGTTGAGACTGCCCTGAACTCACTATGCAGCCAGGCTGGTCTCGAACTCACAGTGATCCTCCTGCCTCAGCCTCCCGAGTGCTGGGATTACAGGCATGAGCCACCATGCCCAGCTCCCAATTCTTATCTGGACGAGGCCTAACCCTTTCTAAGATGCTCAGATGTTCTATAACCTGTCATTTCTAACTAACACTTTATAATTTTGCAGTATGTAAAAAACTGCTATTTTGTATATCTCTAAATGATAAATTTCAAATTGGTCTAAGAGATAGTTTTTTACACCGAGGATCACTGCAGATGATCAGTGGATAATAAAATTGATTTAGTAGGCGGTGACCTCATATAAAAATTAAAGTTTGAAACTCAATGGTCTATAAGAATCTTTAAAACTATGCTTAGTGTTAGTATTTTAAATGTTTCACTCATATATATATCACATATATGTACATAGTAGTTTTAGTCAAAGCCATTGTAACACATTTGAAACAAAAAAAAAAAACCCACATTTTTCTACTGTAAGAGATTTATCAAACCATTCTATTTATTCCCTCTTCCAAGCACCCCTTTTGGACCTTCCAATGTCACCTAGCAAACTATGATGGAATCAATATTTCACCGATACTCAGTCCCTGGTCACGTTGACTGATTCCACCCACAGGTGCTCTGGTAGTGAAGAGTGAGGGTCATGAGTGTCAAACAGACTGCTTGGAACAATAACCTAAATTTCAACCAGTAACCTACAGTGAAGGATGGGAGTTGGCAAGAGAGTAGTTCTCACTGAGGACTAGAGGGTTGAGTTAACCCCTGGGCTAACTCCAGGCAGACAGCATCAACTCTGCTCACAGTCGGTCTTCATTCTCCCCGAGCCCACAAAACCCATGGAGCTTGGTACTGCATCTGATGAAGCCCACAGGCCAAGCATGAATGTTATAGGCTGATTTCCAAATGTGTTTCAGAAAAACTCAAACTGATTCAGTGTGCTTGGAATAATAAGCTTTGCCCTTCAGAGCTTATAAAGTAGCAGGGGAAAAACAAACAGAAAATCCTATTAAAAACAATAATGAAAAAAGGAGAATGACTGCGGAGGCAATTCATCTTCCTGACCCTGAAGAAGGAAGGTACGAAGTTTTAATGCCATTCTACTCTGTTCCGAGAGGCAGCTCTACAATACACCTTTAATATTCACTCCATTATCAGCTTAATTTTTCTCTTATGATTCTCTTCTGTACAGATGAAAGATTTATCTGTTGAAACATTTTCATCTACTCATTTAGCAAAAAATTTGATTTTTTTGTTTTTTTTTTGAGACAGGGTTTCACTATACAGTTCAGCCTGGCCTTGAACTCACTATATACCTCATGAACTCATGGTGATCCTTCTGCCTCAGCCTCCTGAGTGCTGGAATTACAGGTGTATATATTGCCACACGCAGCTACTAGCAAAAAAATTTGAGTACTTTCTATGTACACCAAGCAGTGGAGACAGAATAATGAAGGAGACACAGCCTCTGAAATTCCAGACACTGCCGAAATGAATACATAACGCTATGAGTCTGCCTTTCAAGCACGTTAGGGGAAATAAGTTTGTTGTCCCTAAATCAATTTTACTTTGAATGAATGAATGAGCCAACAAATCAAGCCAGAATAAAACCTGAATCCAGATGAATACAAGATCTAGTAAGAAGGGGTTTCCTGTCTGTTTTACCACCATTAGTCACCCCCCAAAACTAATTCCAAAAACTTTCAGGTTGAGCTTACTGGTTCCTCCACGGGAGGCTCCTCCAGATTTAAAGGGATCTTTGACTCAATGTCCTCCCAGCCAGGAAGGTGGTCAGAAGCAGATGTGTCAGTAACAATGCTGCCATTTTGTACCTTGATGCCATTTACTCCCTGGCAGGGTGAAGGAACGTGGTGAAAGAAGAGGCTCTTCTGTGGCATAGGCAGAAACCAGGCCACAGCAAAAGCCACAGAAACACAGGTGAGAGAGACGACATTCAGGCTGAACAGGGACCATCCTGCCACCGAGACAAGGATTTGTCCTAGGACAGAGCCCACTGTGAAGCCCACTAATGTGGCGCTTCGACAGTAACTTGTGACCTTCTGGTACATGCCCAGGTCTACGACGCTGTAGATGTAAGAATAATAGGCAATTTCAGTGGCTGTGGCGATGCCATAGAAGAATTCCAGGAACTGAATGGCCAGCAGTCCCTGGGCGTAGAGCAGCATGAACCACGTAACAATAAGGCTGAGTCCCTGCAGCAGAACAACAGGTTTATAACGGAGGTAGTCTGTGGCGAGGAACACAGGAAACAGCAGCACCAGGTAAGAGTAAGTCCATACTGGATAAATTTCATTGAAAACCTGGCAAAAAGAAAATAAAAACCCATTAATGATCAAAAGACTTGACTACTTATAAAGAACTTATTCTTAGAAAACAATATACTAACACTTTCAAGATCTCTCAACCAATGAAACCTCAATAGTAACAGTTCAGCTGATTGATTATATGAACACCCTTCCCCATCTCCAGTCCATCTGGTTTTTCCTAACAAAAGCCTCCCCATTCATCTGGGCTTGGCTCAAAGACTTCTTTATCCAGAAAGATTTTGTGGAAGCAGATGTTATTTCCAGGATAATATTTAAGGTTCTCTTGATAGCCTTTTATGTGCCAGTGTCCCCAGTTAACTCATCAGACTGGTTCACAACATCTCCCAAGGAGTTTTACAAAATTGGGACACCATGCCAAGTTTTTAAAACCTCCCAGATTTCAACAGGAGCCAGGGTTGAAAACCACTGCCTTACAAGGTTAAAAGGACAGACCTGACATCTGTCTGTACAATTTAACAGCATAGAAGACACAGGACAAGCAATGCTTTCGAAATTCAATCACTGTCAGTTCTTACTTCTAGGCACAGGACAGGGAGTCTCAATCCTACTGTTTAGTTAAGTTTTTCTGATTTTAAGTTACATTTTTTTTTGGGGGGGAAGGGGGACAACAGAGGCATAGGTAAAGAAGGCAAATCTATCCTAACAGTGGCAGAATTATTTCCTCTGAATGACAGGCAATTTTTATGACCTTTTAACTTATTTGTAATATGAAAGAAAAGGGTTTTTTTCTTTTTAAATTTTATTTTTAATCGACAGATAACTATACATTTATGGGGTGTGGTATATGGTATGGTACATGTATACACTGTGTAACTGATCAGCTCAGAACATTTAGTTTATCCATCGTCTCAGACATTTTTCATTTCTTTGTGATGAGAACAATGTTTTTTCTTCTATTTGACTTATGATACAATGTTAGTGATAATTACTCTTCTGTATATGGTAATAAGTATACCAGAACTTACTATTTTCTTTCTAGTGTGAATTTTTAAATTGGGAAAGAACAGAAACAATTTTAAAAAGAAGCTTCAACTCAAAAAGAATTTCAGTTATTACTTGCTGTGTGATTGCAGATGCTCTTTAACTTATGATGGGCAATTCTTGATGCACTGAAGTAAGGTGAAAATATATAAGTGAAAAATATATTTAACACCCATAACCTATCACATATCATAGATTAGCAATGCAGTACACAGTAGAATGCCTTATTTCCCCGGGATTAAATGGCTAGCTGGGGTCGTGGCTCGCCCAGGAAATAGATAAACATTCAAAATTTGGAGTATAACTTCTACTGAATGTGTATTGCCTTTGTTCTGCCCTAAAGTTGAAATGTCGCTAAGTTGAATTGTTGTAAATCAATGTAGTTAAGCTTCTTTCCTCTCCACTATCAGTAAAGATGGGTAAAACCTATCTGGACAGGGTGGTTTGCTGCAAGGATTAAATGAGAGAATCTGTTGTATTCACAAACTGGAGGAATACAGCTGAATGGAAAGGCCCCTGTGGTAACATGAATCAACAATTGTGGGCTATCATTCCCATCCTTCAACAGCAATCACCGGAGGTGATGTTTCTTTCTTTTTACACTGAATCCACTGTCTAGCAAGAGCCTAAATAAGTCAGTTTTTAAATGATCAATTCAAAGTCCAGACCACTAGCTTCAACTTCTCATTGCTTTTTGGGACGGAGTCTTCGTAAGAAACTAGAATACTCTGCAAGACAGCAATCCAGTGCTAGGCTTTGACGCTGAGTCTGAGAGTAATTTTCTATTTACTGTCACATGTATCTCAAGTCACCCAACTGTGAAATGAGCTATTTTTTAAAGATTTTAGAAAAACAATAAACATGTTATAAAATCTCTTGCCAGTACTGAGCATAACTATAAAAGTAAAACATATCCCCCATTTCCTGAAATATATTCCAGACTTGATTTATGACTGGCCCTGAATCACATGTGACCTATGTAATGGCCTTGCTTTCATGAATTTTGGTTAATTTGGGCTTGCAAATCAGCATCCACCACTGAAAGGGAATAGTGATGCTCAACAACTAAGCCACACACACACACACACACACACACACACACACACACACCCCGAGAGGTCCGACTGGAGAGATTTTATTCAAGGGGTGGGAGGAGAGAGAGAGAGCAGAGAGAAAGAGCAGAGAGAGAGAGAGAAACAGAGAAAGAGAGCAGAGAGAGAGGAGGAAGAAGAAGCAGAAGGAGAGAGAAGAACAAAGAAAGGAAGGTCCTTTTATCAGTTTTGGGGTGGGCTATTGCTTATCTATGAGGAGTGAGTTACTTTTAACCTATCACAGGCCAGATTGCTTTTATGGGCCCAGTCTTGCAGACACAGGTTTCAACTTTCCTGAACCACTGTGGCCTTGGGGGGAGGGAAACCAGAGATAAGGGCATGAGGTCATTTTAGGAGCCAAGATGTACCAGGAGAATGCAGCCTGTGAGGCGGCGTCACAGCATACTTTAACATGATCAGTTCCCTAACAACCACTTGGTCAGGAGACTGGTGCATCTGAATGCATGCATGAAAGAAGAATGGAGAACTGCAGAAATGACTCTTATTCCAAAGTGTGCAAATGTTAGCAAGTGAAGAACAAAGTGTCTACGGCTGGTGGGACCACAGCAGAACACACCCTGCACTAGAAAGTACACCACTGTGGGTAAAGGTAACCTCGAGATGGAAGGTGTGCACACTTTTCACAACTGTGTTCCAATTAACAACTTCCCACTCCCGATACCACTCTCTCCAGTTTTCTAAAATTCGAAACTGCCTGCTGTTTGACTTAGGACGTTTATTAACCTTCAAATGTTCCCCAACATGTTTTACCCAACACAGCGCCACAAAGCTACTGGCCAACAGACCTTTAAAAATGTTTTCTACTGGGCTGGGAATTTAGGTCAGTGGTGCTGCTGCCTGCCTCGCAAGCGCAAGGTCGTGAGTTTGATCCCTGGAACCAAAAAGAAAAAAAAAAAGTTCTCTACTAAAAATGTGGTATCATATTTATACTAACACAATTTATAATAGTTACATCTTGGAAACAACCCAGATGCCCATCAACAGATGAATGGCTAAAGAAAGCGTGGTTTTTATATACAATGGCGTACTACTCTGTCATGAAGAATGCTACACTTGAGGCATTTTTAGGTAAATGGTTGTACCTTGAGAACATACTTTTAAGTGAAATCAGATACACATTTAAATATCGCACTTTCTCTTACGTGAGAAATGGAAAGGGTAAATAAGGCCCCAAATGGATGACAGATATTAGGAAGGAGGAAGACTACGTGCAAATGGGAAGGGGAACAAGGGAGGTGGGAAGGGAAAGAAAAACAAATCATAGAAAGAAAAAAGCAAGCAAAGCTCTTATAAGTAAGAAGGGGAAGAAGGGTTGAAGGGAAGGGAAAGGAATGCACAAAAAAAGAAGAATCAAGCTACATTAAGTACAGGTACAAACTCTCTATGATGAATGTGACCATTATGTATATCAAGAGTGCCAATAAAATTAATTTAGAAATAAAATGTGGTTTATATACCTGATGGAGGATTATTCATCCATAAGAAGTCCTATCATCTGCAGCAAAATGGATGGAATAGCAGAAAATTATGTTACACGAAAGAAGCCAGGCACTGAAAGATAAATACTACGTATTCTTTCTCACATATGAGAACTAAAAAGATAATATGAATGTATAAGCGAGTGATTGCTACAGGGTGGGAGAGAGAGTGAGAGAAAAGAGAGACTGGAAAATGGGCACAAAACCACAGTTAAGACAGAAGACATAAGTTCTGGTGTGCACAGCACAGTGATGACTGCAGCTCGCAGCGACCTATGATATATTTTAAGAATAACTGTAAGGGAGGAGCTCCAAAGCTCCAAATAATGAAATGACTGCGAGGGGGATGCTAATTCTCCTGATCCGAGTAGTGCATGCTGTATGCAAGTGCTGAAATACCACCCTGCATAAATATGTATCATTACTGTTAATAAAAAATTAAATGAAACACTTAAAAAATTTGCTCTACTGCTCTTTTCAACATCCTATTTTCTTCTGTTTCAGGACTTTGATTATTCATTCCAGTAATACTGTCTCTGCCTAGAGAGGTTATTCAACTTTCAGTAACACTAAATTTAGATTAACTGCCAAATTTTCATTCTATAAATGCTATCCTTTAATATCTATTGAAAGTATCTAGTATTCACCAGTCCAAGTCTATCCTTAATACAAAACCACACGTCAGATCATGAAGATGAGGGGAAGTAACACTGCCAGCCTTGCAATGTCAACTGGAAAATGAAGGGAGTATTAGGATGGGGTTTCAGTGGAGTCCAGACGGGTTCTCTTTAACCTGCTCTCATTGAGAGCCCAGTTACTTTATCCTGTACGGGATGTCGACCCAAGGTAAATGTTCCTCCACTGTCATCAGTATCATAGTAGAAACTCTTTATGGATGTACTACATACCATGCTAAGCACTTTACCTAATTTACCTCCATTTAACCCAACAACAGTCCTAAAAAGTAATGCTTTTACCATCTCTATTTTACAATGAAGGACACTTGGCCTTAGAGAAAGATTAAGTAAATTAGCCAAAGTTACCATAACAACAGTTGGCAGAGGAAGGATCTGAACTAATACTCAGAATCTGACATTCTGAATCTACCACAACGAAACGCCTGTTTCTTCCATCAGAACGCTGTTACTGATCTAGTATGTTTCAAGGTTACTTCTGATTTCTGTGCTAGCTTTCTCAAGCTGTGTGGAGGTGCTTTTATAGGGCATCTGTCAAGAGATAAGGACCATATCATCTCCAGAGCTTGCTCCTGTGTCTTCAAAAGAGGTCTCCTCAAAGCTAAGAGATTACACTGGAAAACACCTCCTTTGATAGACAGTTTGAATCTGGAAGGGTAACTTCCTACCAGAAAAAAACGTTCATATTACATTTTTTAGACCTGAACACTGTCCAGACATTTACTAGACATTGTCCAGACCTACCATCTCACCTCAGATAAAACCTGCCATGTGATCAAAGGGAACTGATTTTATTTTATTCAAAGTATCTTTTACAACTCTTTGGATTAAAGTTTGTGTTTTCTTCTGAGATATAAAATATCAAGGAAAACAATGTTCAATTTTAACCTCTAATTCAGACTTAAGGCTTTATTTTAGAAAGTTTCAGTTAAACTTTTATTTGCGCAACACTGTTCTCAACCTGTACAGAGTTAACAAAAAAGAGTAAAATGAAGCTCCAGCTCTCCAGGAGTTCTGAACCTAGTAAGGAGTATACATACACGATATTTACAGCAGAAACTGGAAATATGGGGTTCATTCTTTGAGGTAGATCTTGAAAAACAAGAAAGAGGCTAGCAGAAAGATGTCAACAGAAATATATGGAAAATTCTAGGCAGCACATCTCTAAGTACAGGACAATAGGTTAGAGCTTGTACCTATGCCGGATTTGGGATTACAAGATTAATATGAATGAGAATGCAAAGTGGGAAGGGGAGAACACTACCAAGGAGATAAAAATCAAACTCTGTAAGGCTCTGTCTATCAAGCAGAATGTGGAAAAAAATAAAAGTGGTGAAGTATCAAACAGCATTATTAAAAGTTTGGTTTCAACAATTAGAATACAGTCAGATTTTTACCTGGTTAAAACTTAGAAAGAGTTAACTTTTAAAGATAATACTTTTCCTAAAACCTGAGAAAGAAATTCTTGGAGAGTGGAAATATGGAGGAAACTGTCTTTCTCACTTGGGTAACAATAGCTCTATTTAAAATGATCCAGTTTGGCCCTTCTGGGGAAACTGCAAACATCAATGTCGCTGAATATGACTTGGTATTTGCTTTGCTAAAAAATCATGTAATATATTTTATTTAACTGCCCACTGCTGAAAGCAAGCCCTCCAAATTAGTTACTCAAAAGAAATCTAGGGTTTTCCACAGGACAAGTAGAGCCCTACTGTGTACAATCAACGAATCACCCAGGATTTCAAGGATCTCAAAAGCAAATAACACTACTTAGGCCCCAACCTACTTGATTTCTCTTCAAACCCCTTTTCCCCCTCACTTAATTTGCAATAACATGCATATTTTTATTTTTGTTACATGATCAACAAATATTTACCGGGCCTGGCCCCCTGCTTTATTTCCAAGCCCGCTGAATGTATTTCACCCACCCTAGAAAGCTTTCTGATAAGAGAGCACATGACAACCATACACAGCAACCCTCCAGTCAGGGCACACAACCCCAGGGTAGGAGACAACCGATCTGCTTTCAAATAACAGGAGCAGCATGTTTCTCCTCCATGTGCTTTTCCGAGTGGCAAGGTACACAAACTGTGCAGATCACGCGACAGTTCATATACCTCTTTGTCACCTTGCTCCCAAGCAGTAGCATTTCTGCCTCAGTGGCCACATCTCAGATTCAGTGGTTGTTTGGAATCTTCAGAACCAAACGTTCTCCTATCAGTGAGGTAATTTTTTCTTGTAAAATAATTCCATTCACAAGAATTCAATCTTGCCCCTTTATCTTTCGTTGTAACAAGTACCAAAATTCAAATAGATGATAACTATTAGCAGTCCCTTGTGTAATGATCAGTAAGACAGAGAAACAGATGGTCTGAGGTTTGGGTAAACGTTGCTACAGTGAAACAGACAATTCAACAAATGAATCCAGCAATCAAAACGACTCTCAATTCCCTCTCAAATGCCCTTGGAAATGAAGGCACACTGCAGCAACAAACTGGAGGGAGCAATTATATCCTGCCAGTCTGCAAACGACTGTAGTAGTAGTGCCAACTCTTACTCGAGCCTGTTATGCTGGGATACTGACTTGCTTGCTACTCAACCGAGGTGACTGAATACTAACAAAACCAGGAAGAACATGGTTTAAACGGGAGGAGTTATTTTATAGCAACTGGGGCAGGGAGGCAGGGTGAGAGGTAAAGGGGGAGTAGGAAAAAAAGGTACAGTTAACCTGTGCTCGTTCAGCTGAGAGCAGGGCAAAGAATATCAGACCCAAGCTCTCACCTTTGTGATATGCAAGGAAAGGCTTAGTAAATCTGTCTAATTTGGGCCTTGTCGTAGTGCTGTGGGTTTAATTTGCTTGTCCATTCATATGAAGTCTTTGGTCTGAAGAAAGCAAGTGCTGGAATTAACTATGTACTTCAAGAGTTAAACAAATATCTAAAGCATTATGCCCTTCAGAAGTACTTACAAACCCTTATCTCGAGTAAATCAATCAGCAAGAAGTTCTCGATCATGGACTACATGCTTTCAATTACCCCCGAGCATCACAGCAGGAACAGAACCTTTACTTTGTAGTTGAGAAGCAAAGCTAAAACATGTGCAATAACAATACATACAAAAGAACAACTTTAACCAGGACCCAATTACGCGATATCCTTGTCATTTATCACAGGAGACTGGGCTCAGGAGGGAGGAGCAGCATATCCTTGTCTACAACCTCACCTACTTAAGAATGAAGGCACATGAACACAGAGATTCCTGTCCGGCCCTGTCCTCCTTTGGCGGAGCACACGCACCCAGTAAAAGGTCAAGAAAAGGAGGACAGGAAGGCAGGGAGTGTGGCACGTGGAGAGAAGACCCTGGCAGAAAAGCAGAGGTTACCGACTTTCAGGCCGTGAGTATTTATGGAACCTCCCTCTCCTCCGAAGTACAGCGTGCTGTTTTCACTTTCTACCAAAACATCGCCCCCTACCCGTTGCAGGAACCGCTGGACCAGTCCCCGCAGAGCCCCAGAACTCCGCAGTTGCCGCCCGCCCGCCCGATCACCTGCCGCTCGGTCAGGTTCTTTCTCGGCCCCAGCAGGTAGGGCGTCAGGAAGGGCTCGGACGGCCGCAGGCTGGCGAAGAAGCCGTAGGCGCACAGCAGCGCGGTGGGCAGGAACCAGCACTCGCGCGGCATGCGGGCGGTGCGCAGGA